GTGTTAATGTAAATGTGAAAATACAAATGTCTGCAGGTGTCTCGACACCGTAATGTGATGCAGCTTAAAATGCGTTTGCTTTTGTTTTTCATTTGAAAACCCCCATGTTTGAAGAGCCACACCAAGGAAGAGACAAGCAAATAGAAAAGTCCTAACGGAAGGTGTGTTGGGGGGGCAGGCATTGCGTGACATTAAAGAAGGATATTAAAATAACAGTCATCAGGGTTATCTGCAATCTGGTAGTGCCTCTCCTTTTATTCTTTCTTTGTTTTGCCCATTAGCGCAGAGCGGACATTCTTTACATCAGGGCAGATGTAAAGAAACCCAAGTGTCTCCTGTGCAGGTGTTTCTGTTGGATCAGCCAAAGAAATTAGAACAGGAGACAGGTCATGGGGTGATTTGGGGTTTGCACATTTTGTATGAGAATGGTTGATACCAAGAGAGGGGACTTTCCTTTAAAGCAGTGTTAAGTTTCAGCGTGTCCTTTTTCCACAGAGTCTTTAGATCCAGGAGGTTCTTTTAAAGTTCTCTCATGGTGTTTAGGTTCAATGTGCTTGCAGATAACTCGAGTCCAACCCTACTTTGCAGGTGTTGAGAAGTCAAAACGAATTATTTTCTCAGGAATCCTATCCTCTTTGCTGGTGAATAGATCACCTTTAGAATAAAAGCAAGTGGTACTTTGTCGTCAGCTCCCTCAGAAGGCTGTTTCTAGCCCAGAGATGCTGGGTTTTTCTCTGGTGTGGTGGTTGTGCTCCCTCCTGGTAACTGGCTGTGACAGAACTGATGCTCCTTCACCCTCCTGTGGATTGTGAACCGTTCAGTATTTATGGGCTGAGGTCCTCAAAGAGGGTGGGAATGGTTGGGGAGCGATGGCAGCGGGCAGGGATCGGGCTGCAAGCCCCTTCTCAAAAAATAAGCTTTTAATAGAGCTATTTTATACAGGAAGGATCTTACCTTGCAACATTAAAACTGTTTGGCCATGAAGGAGCTGACATGCAGCATCTGAGGCCGTCAACGTGTGGTTTTGTTTTTAAAATGTCACTGGTATTAGTATTACATTCCGGGGATAGTACCAAGAAACAGGTTCTTTAAAGACCTTCTACCAGTGTGCGGCATGTAAGTCTGTGACAAGTGACATTACAGAAGGTCATGTCACTTTTAACTGCTTGCATTAGATCTTTCTGATTTCCCCAGTGCCCTTCCTTTGTTTGATTAATACTACTTGATTTCAAGCAAGGCATCGGAAGGCATAATTTAGAGTGAGTATTCTAGGGGCAATCTCAGATTTTTGCCATAGAACTTTTAATAAAATAACTCCAATGTTTCGTTTTATCTTCATATGCTTTTTCCTGTCCCCCCTCTCCCTCCTCCTCTGTCTTCTCCCCCCCACCATCACACCTCCCCCAGGTACGATGCTTGCCACAGAGACCCAAATTAACCACGGTTTCCTCCAGACCAAAGCCACACTTGTGCGCTTTATTTGAATAGCAACGAGGCAGAATCAAGGAGAGGAAAAATTTCCATTGTGCAGTTTTCTGCCCCCCCCACCCCCCGGTATTCTTATCACAATGTTGAACTGAAATCTGTTGCTGAGATTCCCTTTACCTCTCTTGGAACAGCCTTGCTTTGTTATGTGGAAATAGGTTGTGCTTCAGTATAGGGCTTTTGTAAGGCTTCAGCCTGCCTATTCCTCATCTATCATGAGATTATAAAGAATCTCCTTTCCTTGCTTTAATTCGTGTCAAAGTTCTGAAAACACTTGTTTTGGTGTTTTAATAAATTGTACTATTGTGGCTGTACTGCCTGAACGTTCATGGTGTGTTTTTTTTTTTTCTCTTAACTCTTCCTTTTGAATTTTGAGACAAGTGAGACCATGGGCGATGTGTCATACGCTTTAAAGAATCATTTATGCACCTTGGGCACAGGAACAGTTTTACTACATTTTATTTTGCTACAATAATTGAATTCTGTTTTCCTTTCCAGACAATTCAATACTCCCAAGCCCAGTGTAATTGATGATATGACTAACCTAGAACAAGAGCATAGACTGGTAGTGGCTTTTGAATTAAAAAATGGAATGGAGGAGCTGGAAATCTGGGCTCAGTCCTGGGCTTCAGGCAGTTTCAAAGGACTTTTTATGTCCTTTGAACAAGTTAACATTTTGCCACTCTATGGAAGCTTGTAAAGTAGTTTGAGATCATTAGATGAGGAAGAGGGGAAAAAAAAAAAAGTGAGTTTGAAGTATTATTATCTGGGTAATTTAGAATGGGTATTGTCATGCAAGTGATTTCAGTGAGGTGCCATCATTTGCAACAATTTTAGAGGTTTCCAATTCAAATAATTGTCTCCACGCTAACTTTAGCGCCGCTGTGAGATAGGCATTCTGCTGTTCAACCCTGTCAAGACAGGGAATTTCTGGATGTACATAAAAGAGATCTTTAAGTGTCTGGGGAATATTAATGTTGAAAAGTAAGAGACCTAGTGAGTTTAGTCAGCTCCAGGCGTAGGCAGTGTCTGAGTCAACAGATTCAGGTTTATACCTTGGGCTTTAGTCACCTAATGATGTAATTACAGGCTTTTTTGCGTGTGGCAAAACTGATTTAAGAGAGTTTCCATCTCGCTGCAGCCCTTAACAGCTTGTTTTTTGTCCTCTCTTCTCAGTTCACCGTTTCTTTAGTAGAGCTAATGCTAGCCTTCCTGGAGCTGCTCAGGGCCACTGAAACCACCCACCTTAAAAGTTTTAGGGTAGGTTTTTTTGAAGAACTCTATCAGTCCAGCTCCTCAAACACTTGGAAGAGCTTAGGGGAGATGACATTGAGCTACCAGGAGAGGAGGGGAACAAAGAAGTCATGTAGACACATGGGAAACTGAAGATGCCTTTGCTTCCACAGAGAAATCCATGAAGACAGGCCCTCTTAGACACCTCCAAATGGGATGTGTAAAATGGCCTTCTGAGCTGGGAAGGGGCATTTCAACAACATGCCCTCAGCATTTCCCTCTCTCCATGCTGAGAGGTGTGATCATCCCAACCTCTCTGGGCACTGTCTCTGATCCTCTTTCTTTAAGAAAAGGAGCAGAGCTGACCTAAATGGAAGACAGAGGAGAAGCTGGTAAGGGAGGCTTCTTCTTCATATAGTGGCTAGAGCCCAGTCTTGGTACCTTCTTCAGCCTAAGGGGACTCACAAATACATAGGCCTGGCTGGCATCAGGTCAGAGGCTGCAGAAGATGTGGTCAAGCCAGTGTCCTCCCACTAAAATTGGTCTTCTGGGCAGGAAAGAATTCAAGAGTAATTATTCCTTAATTGCTGGGGTCATGCTTCTTCCTTGTGCTTTTGGACATTCTCACTCTTTACTGTTTCTTTGTATTTCTAGTCTTTGTTTGGAGTCTAAGCTCCAGGACGGAGGAGCCAGTAGATGGAACTGGAGGCTCCTTCCCCTCCAAGATCCCAGGCTTGTTGTTAGGTTCGTTTTGGGTTCAAACAGGGATGAGCAGCTGAAAATCCAGATGTTTTGAGCCGTGCAGTTGGCTTGCACGTACTCTGCTACATGTGCATGTTAAATCAATCTACGTGGTGTTTGCGTTTCACATGGACCCATGTAACGTGATTAACTGGGATCTTCTTGGTGGTTGAGCTGACTCAGAGGAAGGCATCTGATACACACACTTTGCAGTTTTAAGTTCTTCTCCTTCCTGGATTTGGATGGTGCTAAAGTCCCTCTAGCTCTTGAACGTGGATTTGGACTTGATGAGAGTGTCCTTGCAGCTGTGCTCAGGAGGGCAATTATGAAGTTACAGTTTTAACATCTTGCCTTAAATGACAAGGACACTAAAACCGTTTGTAGCTTCACCTATATGATGAAGTAAACAATCATTTTAGTTGGTGGCAAGTCTGCTAAATAGGCCAAAGTCTTAATGTTTCACATCAACAAGTTTTTCCTTCTCTTGTCCTTTTTTAATGCATATTTTTTAATACATAGTATACTTTTTTTGCATCCATAATATGACACTGGGCTGGGTGGATCTTTGCTGACCTCAATTATGTCTGTTCTTATATCCTAATAAGTACTTACATACAAGTAATTATAAGAAGAGCCACATTATTTTCTGGTTAGAAGGAGGTACAACTTTATTTCAATCCACCAACAGAGAACTTTCCCCGTAGGGTAGGAAGAAGACTTGATCACAGTGTTATGAGAGAGGGATTTGTGAGTTTTAAATCTGAATCTGCCACTGACCATCTTCGGAAAGTCATTTAATCTCTCTGTAAACCAGATTTAATAGCAGTTCATTTCATGCTTATGGTGTCATTAATAATTGTTAATATTTGTAGAATGGATTGAATTATGTGTGTGTTCTATGGTGTTAGACTGGAAAGACTTTAAATGGCAAAATGCATAGATTTGGCAACTGCAGCTCACGATGAATGTGCAGAAAGTTAGATGCACAGATTGTATAAAATCACTATTAAGAAACATCGTGCTAATGCTGATAGAGCATATGGTATATACCATTGTTGCAGATCATATGGAGATAAGCTACTATGAATTTATTCCCAGCTTTGTATTCTTTAAAAATCTCTTGGTGAATGCTGTAAATTCTCTTAAAAATGTTGCGTGTTTCTGTAGGCAACAGTAAATTTGAAGCAAGCATCTGTGTGTGCTGTGTAGGCACCAGTGGAGCTGACAAAGGATTCCTTTAGTTAAAACAATCATACATTGAATTTTGAGCTACCTCTCAGATACTTAAATTGTCAAGCAAGCATTTTGTACAGGAAGGGTTTTCAGTATATAATTCCCTGATGTAGGTCAATTAAAGCGATAACACTTTCCTAAATTTGAATCTCTAGATGAAGTGGTTTTTTTTTTTCCTAGTTGTACATTTTCCTTCTGTGCATTTATTTCAAATGTTAATAAAGTTTTCATCTACAAAAGGTTCAGAATTGACAGAACAAAACTCTTCCTTTTTAAATTGTGACAACTACTACTGTTTCTGTCTGCAGGTAGTGGAGGACATGCTAGAGGACGAGGAGGAAGAGGATGACAGAGATGACAAGGTAATTATCTTTCCTAGCACTTGGGTATCTGGGGATGGGAGAATTTAGACATGACACTGTTTTTACAGACAGTTAAAAAAGGAGTTGAAGTGTTTTAGTCCAGAAAATTGGACAGAGCTGTTTATCATCCTAACAATGCTACAGTGTGTTGCAGGAAAGGATAGAGGACTATAAATCCTGCCTTTTTTTCTTCTTTTTTTTTTTTTTTTTTCCTCTTGGTCCAGAGCTGGGTCAAATATTTTTTCTGCCAGGAACAAAAATAATTCAGCCTGTCTGGAACTTGATAGCTCTTGTGAAGATAACTGCAGTGACAACTGTTTTTGAAGGACAAAAATTTGTCCTGTCTTGAGTATTACAAATAGGGCTGCACTTTAGGGGGAAAAAACGGTGTAAAAATAGCAACTCCATACTGGTTAAAGAGGGGATATTGACATCCATAATTTTCGAGGAATTACTCGGTGGAGGAATGAATGGATGGGATGTTTTGCAGTGGGTATGACATTTAAATAATCACAATTCTCATGGATATCCACCTGATTTGGAGTTGGCGTCGTGGCCTGGGACACCGTGGCAGATCGAGCCAAAAAAAAAAAAACCAAGTGGTTTGTTTTGGAGGCTGCTGGTCGGGCTGAGGATTGCGACCCACAGTAAATAACAGCTCTTTTCCACACCTTGTTGAGCCCAGCCATGGGACTGCCTGGATGGGTTGTCCTCCAGGGAGAGGGGAAAAACCAGAGAAAAGGAATGAGAGTGACCTTGGGCCAGCGCAGCGCTGACGGGACGGCCCCGCTGCCCCCGCTGATGCTGCTGGTGTTTTTGTACCAGGAAGGTGATATTTGTGGAAAAAAAAGAAAAGAAAAGGAAAGGAAAGGGAAAAAAAAAATACAGATACTTTTACAAGAACTCTGAATTACAGTACAGACGATTTTGACCTTCACAGATGTTCCCCCACTTCTGTTGTAGTAAAGCAATGAATTTTATTCTTTTCTTTTTTTTTTTTTCAAGAGGAGAAAAACAGTGTATCTTAATTTATGCCCTTGACCTTTGTTTCTAGTTGAGATGTACAGTTATATACCACTGTAAGAATTCATATGCTGGCAGCAGCGTTTGAAATGTCAGAAAATTCACCATGATTAGTTAAACCCCTGAATGATTATTTTTCTGTTAGCTAACACCTAAGATCTGAGAGATGATAAAAAAAAAAAAAAAGAGTATTTTCCTCATTCCGTTGCCGGCGCAAACATTTTACAATTGACAGAAAGTTATTATGTGAAATTCTTCTATACATCACTTAAATCGTTAGCTACATCATTTCAGAATCGGCAAACACTGTGGTAACAAAACCTTCTTTTACAAAACACGTATGTGATGGTTTTTAACACTAAATGATGTGAGCATACACTTCTGGCAATAAAATATATGATTTATTGCAAAGGTCAGTCGTGTAGCTGTGGAGAGCTTGTATTTTAACTCAACATGCTGGCTTTGAATCATCATTTCTCTTCCGATAAACACTGATTTGCCACCCATTTGAGGCCATTTTCCCCCATTTCTTCCTGCTTTATTATTAGCGCTGGTGCCAAAGCATCATCCCAGTAGTGTGTGAGTTCCTGGATATTTTAATAACTGTGATTAGCTCACAAAGCATAGTGTTTGGCGGCGTGTGGTTTAAGCCAGCCTGTGCAGTTAGCACTCAGTTGTTTTTGGAAATTGCTAAAAAGACTCCTTTAAGAGGGAAGGTGAGGGGGGGGTCAGCCCCTCCACCCCCCCGTTCTCTGGCGATTAGCAGATGCCGGGCAAAACATACCCAATTAGAAATATCACTCTGGGTCTCGGTGTTGTGATCTAATATTCAGCTTTCTCAAATTGACACCAGAGTTCAAACATTTCTCTAGATCTAGTTACCAAGGTTGAATAAAAGTGAGCGCTGACATTAGCGCGCGCGCCTTCGGTGAGCCCTTTTATTGAATATTTAAGAGCTGTCTTTCCATACAGACGGTGTTTAGGTTGATTTTTATAAATTCAAAGCTGTCTTCATTATTGCAAACATTTTGAGTTCTCCTGATTGAATATGCTGTTTGAATGGAGGAGAAAATTGCGCTTTTTAAGACGAGCGTGTGGAGAGTGCCGGTGCGTTGCGCGCTCGTCGCAGCGGGCGCTGCGGTGCCCTGGGCTGAACTGTAAAAAAACAGGCACAGGGTTAGGATGGAGCTGGTTGTGGTTAGAAGCTGGTGGGGTGGGTTTTTTTTCCTCTCTGGTGCCCTGGATCTGCTCTGTCCTGGACCACTGCTGCTCCTCCTGCATCTCTTTGTCAGAAGGGAAGGGTGGCGGTTTTGCATTATTTTTGCATTATTTTAATTCCTCTCTGTGCCTTCTGAAAGCTATGGGCAGAGTGAAGTTTGGTGAGGGAACAAATGCACATTTTGTAACACCAGCTGGGGGGTAGCCTCTGGCTTTTATTATTTCTCTGTTGTTTTTTTTTTCAGTCGGTATAATGGAAAAGTCAGGTAAATGGGTCTTCTTATGCGAGAGAAGTGAAAAAAAATAAAATAAAATAAAAAAGATTAATAAATGTGCCAAAGCCTCACTTTAATTGAAGCTGAAGCACATGTTGCAAGTGTGTAAAATACTTCCCAGATGTTTGAGCAGGGCCAGTGTCTTGGCTTTCCCTGATTACCAGGAGGCAGCTATTAGTCCTGTAACCCCGGGACCCCGCGGTGAAGGGGGTATTACCCGGCACCTGTTTCCCATTCGGAGGGGACCCCTGGCAGCCTGCCCCTAAGCCTCACCATGTGCTTTCACTTAGCAGATTGTTGGGCGATTATGAAAAGTGTCTTTCTTCAGGGCCAGCTCAGGTATTCGTTTGTGGCTGGCTCGCAGGGAAAGGGCAACTCCTGGGCTACTCGGGGAGGTCCCCGTGAGCCAGCGCCGATGTAGGTTACAGAATCACAGAATCACAGAATCTTAGTGGTTGGAAGGGACCTCTGAGATCATCGAGTCCAACCACAAAAAAACCAAAAAGAAAAAAAAAAGAAAAAAGAAAAACACACCACACCAAATGCCCACCAAAAACACCGCACCCACCAACTAAACCCCACACTCAACACCTCGCCATAAACCAATAACCTTGGGCACTAGAGCATGCCCTGAAGAGCCATGTCTGTACGTTTCTTAAATCCCTCCAGGGATGGTGACTCCACCACCTCCCTGGGCAGGCTGTTCCAGGGCCTGACCACCCTCTCAGTAAAGTAGTTCTTTCTAATATCTAATCTAAACCTCCCTTGCCACAACTTCAGACCATTTCCTCTGGTCTTGTCGTTCGTCCTTTGGGAGAAGAGGCCGACCTCCACCTCTCTACACCCTCCTTTCAGGGACTTGTAGAGGGCAATGAGGTCTCCCCTCAGCCTCCTCTTCTCCAAACTAAACATGCCCAGTTCCCTCAGCCTCTCCTCATAGGACTTGTTCTCCAGACCCCTCCCCAGCTTGGTGGCTCTCCTCTGGACACGCTCCAGCACCTCAATGTCCTTCTTGTAGTGAGGGGCCCAGAACTGAACCCAGCCCTCGAGGTGAGCCCGTTACGGGACGGGCTGGTGGAGGGACCTTGCTCCACATCCCTAAATGGCAGCGTCACAGAAGTAATAAACTGAGGATGCTGAATGCTCAAATGTATGTAATCAATTAAACTAAGTATTAAATTAATAGCGGCGTGTGACACTGAGACAAGGTAGACTTGCGCCTCACTTACTACTTTGGCCTCTTTCTAACGTTCCGGATTTTAGTAACTATTTTTTCACCCTCTGCTGTGATTAAGGTGGACAGGACTGACGATTTGAGGTCATGGGATGTTTTCATTTTTTTTATGCTGGAGAATGTTAACTTTCACCTTCAGTTGCAATACGACCAATAAACTAAAATGGCAAGTATACTTCTTGTGATATCAGTTAAAAAGTGCTGTGTAGCAGTGGAACACTTTTTCTGCTAATTCTGTTTCTCTGTCCTATTAGGGACTGAAAAAGATGCTGTAGCTGGTTTGGCTCAGGCATTTGTCCACAGTTCAATACTAGTTTTTTTCAAGAAATAGCACTGGATTCAGTGCTCCATATGTTCTGGACTGCTTGCTAAACCTATGCCAGCCACGGATTTACAGTTTAATCTGATTTCTCTCTCTCTCTTTTTTTTTTTTTTGGCTCCCTTCCAAAGTCTGGCTAACGCAGTATCTTAGCAAATAAGGGTCAGTTAAATTACATGAAGTCAAGTTATCAACGAGCTATCAAAAGGATTTCTACGCAGTTATATTAAAAAAAATAAAATAAAATAAAAAAGATTAATAAATGTGCCAAAGCCTCACTTTAATTGAAGCTGAAGCACATGTTGCAAGTGTGTAAAATACTTCCCAGATGTTTGAGCAGGGCCAGTGTCTTGGCTTTCCCTGATTACCAGGAGGCAGCTATTAGTCCTGTAACCCCGGGACCCCGCGGTGAAGGGGGTATTACCCGGCACCTGTTTCCCATTCGGAGGGGACCCCTGGCAGCCTGCCCCTAAGCCTCACCATGTGCTTTCACTTAGCAGATTGTTGGGCGATTATGAAAAGTGTCTTTCTTCAGGGCCAGCTCAGGTATTCGTTTGTGGCTGGCTCGCAGGGAAAGGGCAACTCCTGGGCTACTCGGGGAGGTCCCCGTGAGCCAGCGCCGATGTAGGTTACAGAATCACAGAATCACAGAATCTTAGTGGTTGGAAGGGACCTCTGAGATCATCGAGTCCAACCACAAAAAAACCAAAAAGAAAAAAAAAAGAAAAAAGAAAAACACACCACACCAAATGCCCACCAAAAACACCGCACCCACCAACTAAACCCCACACTCAACACCTCGCCATAAACCAATAACCTTGGGCACTAGAGCATGCCCTGAAGAGCCATGTCTGTACGTTTCTTAAATCCCTCCAGGGATGGTGACTCCACCACCTCCCTGGGCAGGCTGTTCCAGGGCCTGACCACCCTC